CCCCGCTCCTGGGTTTGCAATTTGCAAGAAAAGCTATAGAAGTGAGAAAAGCCATCACTCATGTATAGGAGGTGTTAATGAGAGCAGAGAAGGTTAGCTCTGATTCCCTGATTCTTAAATAGGGCTGGTCAATCCCTTGTTTTTATCTCCACTACAGAAAAGGACAGCTGGCCTCTGTTCCCTGCTTTTTATTTCTCAGAGGGGCTCAAATGGAATGGTATTTAATGGGTCCCTTTGGGGAGGAGACAATTTTGGACCTGCTTCTTTCATTTGGAAAAAAAAAAAAAGAGAGAGAGAGAGAAGCAGTTAAGTTCACTCCCGCCTGTTCTGCATCTCTAAGCCCTTTCATTCACAAACCAGCTTTGGGGCCACCCGCCTCCTTTTGGCAATGCCCTTCTTTGATATGCAACCTGGGGAGCCCCCTTTGAACCTCGGTGGGAAAACTTTCTCACTACCCTACATTTTATGACTCGGGGGAGGGAAGGAGGGAAGAACCACACAGCCACATTAAAAATAGTCCTTGGCCACCAAGGGCTGAAGATTCTGGGTAAATTTATCCCGCCCCCTCCCCTCAAAAGGGGCTGTTTTGACTGAGCGTGTTTGTGTATCTTCTTCTGCAAACATTTATTGTTTTCCCTGGAAGACCGCATGGCCCACAAATAAATAAGAAACACACAAAAAGGGAAACTCTCTGTGATCGTGATCCCTAAATATTGGAGGTCTGCTGCAAAGAGAAACAGGGATTATGTAATTTCTGGACTCTCCTCCATCCTTCTCTCATTTATATATCTGCTGGTTGTTCTTGTTTTTGCATGTCTGGAAGGAGAACGTTTAAGATTCAGTGTGCCCAAGACGGAACTTGGCTGGAAGGAGCTTGCATTTCGGTGACCTGTGACCCGCCACCCTCCAAGTTCCATGGGTTGTACCACTGCACCAACGGTTTCCAGTTCAACAGCGTGTGTCAGATTAAGTGCAAAGAGGATGACCCTCAATCCGTGAGTCCTGTTGAGTGATTGCTGTGCCAGAAGGGTTACCACCTGGTTTCTCCTCCTGCCTGAAACCAACAGTAGCCACTTTGAATCAGTTAAGACACGGATGAGCTAGAAGGATTAACACACTGACAGATTCCTATTTAATTCTGCCCTTTTGACCAGAAACACGAGGGCTGGCTTCTTACCTTTTTTAACTGGAGGGCAATCGATCTGTAGTAGAGGGTGTGGATGTCACTCAAGGCATATCAAGATCAATCCGGTTATCACTTCAATCATTGCCAGTTGGGTCTGAAAAATCCCATTAAAAAGTTCCCTCCCCCAATGAAAAAGGTCTTTTCCAGCTGTAACTGGAGAAAGCAGAGACTGAATCTGGTATGCCATGAGGATGGTGATGATTTCCCTGAAAATTATTTCTGCAGCCTGCTGTGGTATAGAGATTAAGATGTTAACTAGGGCCTTGTAATCTTTCTCTTTTCCTTCTTTTGGGTGCTGCTTATCCTCCCTAGTTCTCCTGCCTGACCTCTTTCTCCTTCCAGGGCCAGGGGAATAACGTGATTCGCTGCCGAAAGGATGGGAATTGGAGTGGATCCTTCCACCTCTGCCCGGAGATGCAAGGACACTGTTCCCCACCCACCCAGCTGAGTGGTGGCCTGAAGCTACAGTGTCCAGATGGCTACGGAATAGGTATTTACAGACGTTTCAGCTCACGTTAAGAGCCTTAGTAGTGTCATATAAGACAGAAGAAGGGTAGTGGAGTGAGACCTGAACTCACCTCTTGTTTGTTTGGCCTCAGTTGGCCCAAATTTCAAAACCACGGCAGCTCCCGAATCTATTTTAAAATGGAAAGTCAGGTTTTCAGGAGCCAGAAGATTCAGTCATGGTTGGAGCAGGCCAAGGACACTGGGTTGTCTTGCTGTCTTTGCTGATGGCCACTGGCAACGTTAAATGATGCTGTTGATGACAACTTCTTTTTTTTTAAAAAAAAACAGTCATTTCACACACAAAAATATTACCTGGATGCTCTTAGCTAAATGGATAAGAGATCGCTAATTCAATGATGATGATGAAGAAGATGATGATGATGATCATGGAAGAATGCTGGTTGGATTGGATTTAAGAGTCTTGTTTTCCAGAATGTTAGTGTGGCATTTTGCTTCCCTTGGTTGGTCTTTTGCAGGCTGGGCACAAAGTTCTCTTGCCATTTTATATCCTGCAACTGTTCCAGAGGTAGATGGGGTTCAGTTATTATTTACTATGATTTATGATTTAATCTCATCGAAGTATTTATTGTATTTTGAATTGTCCCAAACAGCAAGAGCACACTGAGCTGGCTGCAGAGCAATTACAGCTAAAAACAATGAGCGCAGGAAAGAAATCAATCAGGAGTACAAGGAAAATAGATAGCTTATCTGCATCTTGTGTACACCACCAACCCAAAGTAAATAATCTAAATTGAACAAGTTTTTTTCCAGCTGTGGGTGTCCAAGTGGTGGCTCCTATCACTGATGGCTATTGATTGTGGGATGATGAAAGATGATAGATGCTAATCTGTCACTGGCAGACTTTTTTCTTTTATCTGTACAGTGCATAATTCTGGTCTGCATTAATTAGATGTTAATGAGAATCAGGGTCTGGGAAAAGTTTCTAATCCCACCTCTGCAGATTGATCCCTCTAGACCGAACTTGGGCCCTGTTGTGGCCGAGTTCATGTTCTTCTTGAAGCTATTGTTCCTCTCCTGAATTAAAGTAAGATTCCAGTTCTTGTGGATTGGAAGGAGGAGGTCTATGGGAACCTTCAATGGAAAGGAGAGTCCTTGGAGTGAAATCAAGTGATTCTATGTGTCAGATTGAGTCTGGTGCCTTGGAACTGATCCAGAGTTTCAGTGGACTTTGCCTCATGCTCTCCCACACCTTCTACAGTGACATTTTCGATTCAGGTTGATCCCATCTGGCGATTCGTATCCAAAATCTGAACTGGGTCAGAATCTTTACTGATGGGTACATCCCTCATAGAAAGCGACCTGAAGCAAGATCAGACACTTGGTCCATCTAGCTCACTTCTATTGGCACTGATTGATACCAGCTCTCCAGGAGCACTGCCAGAGAGCTGAACTGAACAAAATGCTTTCTTCAACAGACACTGAAAGCGGTCTTACCCCAAGTCAACCTGATCTGTCTTATCTGTGTTCCTTGTAGCTGCTTTGCATGATTTAGATCAGAGCCTTTTCCAGCCCTTTCTGCAGATGCCAGGAATTTGAATGTTCAGACCCAGTTCTATTCTTCTCTTGCATGTCCATCTGGAAAGCATATTTCATGTCTGAGCATCCTTGCCCAAGATTGTTGGGTACCACTTCAACAAAGGTACATTGCGGGGGGAGACAATCCAGCCCAAGAATGCAAGACTGTGTGTTCTCTTTCCTCTGCCCCTCTTTCGTCCCTCGGTTGTCTTTTTGAACTGTCAGGGAAGCAGGCTTCTCCTTATCCGTGCCCCCTCCCGCCCCCCTGCCCGTTCCTTCATTATAGACTAGCTATTGTGGAGCACCAGGACCTGCTCTGCACCCATCCCAGGGGGAAGAAGAATGTGAGTTGGATGAGGTCATCGCTCTATAATGAAGCCAATTATGGATTGTATATCAAAACAATCCAGGACCGCTCTTCTCCTAAAGTGTAAATTGCACCACTAGTGAAGGAGGAGGAAGGCGGCTGCAGTTTCCTTTCTCCAGATGATGTGTTTTGCCCCTGGAGACAGGGATGACCTTTTGATACCTACCAAGGTTTGCTGGTACTTGCAGAGAATATTTTACTTGCTCTTCGGGGGGGCAGGGAGGAAGAACAGGAGGATGAGAAAGAACGAATCCTGCTTTCCAGTTTCAGGGGTGGAAGGAGGAGAGAGAAAGGCAGAAAGAATCCCTAATGATCTGGCCTTGTTGAGGGATGGTTTGCATTGTCCACTTCTTCTGGGTCAATCTTTATAATTTTGACCTGGTTGCACTCAACTGACCAGTTAAGCCCAGCCAGGTGAGGTTGTTTTCTCCAACCGTGGTCCCTTCTGGATGACGTCTTCATGTCCTTTCATCTAGCACAGGGTTTGACCCTTGGAATTGTCTGGGAATCATTGAATTTGAAACCAGTGCATGTTGAGGTCACCAGATTGGGGAGAGCTGATCTGTGCCCACTTGAAGCTCAGTTGAAGTAAGTGGGATCCTCCAATCCCCGTTATGACATTGTAGCTAAGCTGGCCAGTTTTATAACCGGGGGTCAAATTGACTTTGGAACTCCAGGTCATGATTTTTAGAGCCAGTGGGGACATACTGGCAAATGCTAAGCCCCAAATGTCCAACAGGGCCAAGGTGGCTGAGAAGGATGGCAAGATGGGCATTCTGATGGTCAGGCTAGTTCGGAGCAGAACTAGCTGTTTTCTCTTCCTTGTTTCTGAAGCTGATGAGGGTTCTGAGCTCTGCAATTTGTAGCATCTATGTGGTTATAAGAGGCATTTTCTAGAAGGAAGGAAGGTTCAAGGGCATCTAGTGTTGTATCTCTGAAAGGTCCCACGTATCACCACTCAATGCTTATTTTAATAAAAGAGAGTGCGGATCCCTGCAGATAACCCCATTCCATTAACTGGAATAAACTGGTTGCCAGCATCTGTGCCATGTTGTATGCTTCCTAAGTCCCTAAATGAGTCCCGTCCCCCAACCAATCTACTGTATGTGGATTGCTTCTCCATACAATGGGAGGGGAAAAAAAAACCCTGCCTGTAAAAATCTACCCTGTTAAGAAGCAGGGTTCAAGTTAGGGGTGTGTCACCTTAGTTATCTGAGTGTGATGTGGTCTATCTATTTCACACCTCTCTGTATAATATATATAAACTTAGCAAGAATGCAGATCACCGAGATCTGATCTGAATCGCCAAATTGACTCAAAGGCACCCAATTTGAAGGAACAATAGAGTGTGTCCGTTACAGTCATTTATGCTGTTGTTTAATCCTTAATCCACTATCCAAAGCTGCTTTGTTGAAAGGGGCAGCCGTAAAAATAGAAACAAACAAAACTTTGCAGAGCCTGTACAACTTACAGGAGATAATAGCATGGATATGCATTTGGATTTTGGTGGTATAAGGGAATACGAATGCATCTTATCCCCAACACTTGGAAAACAGTAAAATCCATAAATAATTATATTCCAGTTCATATATTAATTCAGGAGTTCTTGAAATGAGGATTGGAGAGGGGGATGATGGGGGGACTCAAGCATCTGTATTCCACTCCTAATTTACCCCAGGATGTTACATTTCTAGGTGCAGGGATTCCTCCCTCCCTCCCTCCTGGTCTTATCCTAAAATGAGAGGCCTTCTCTGATTCTACCTACAGTGAATACCACCCAAGACTTGAGTTTTCTGTTTGATTAAGAATTAAGCTTTTCGTCAGTTAGCGTGCAATCTCTTGGCATTGCAGACATGGAAATGAACAGAAGCACACTTCTTGAAAATAGATAAATAAACACTTATTGCTGTGGTTTAATTATGGAATATTTATTTCTTGGGGACCCTTGCTTCTGTTCAGAGAACAACAGTGAAGGTCAGGTAGGCTTCCTTCAGAACCCTGGACAGGTCCCAAAGAAGTGGTACCTTATGCTAGGGAGAATTGATGGATTTGAGCCTTCCATCAAGTGGGTCCTCTTTATGCTAGAGAATGAAATGGCTTTCGCTCGTGCATCATGTTTCTTTCTCTAGGACATGCTGCTTGCAGTGATTAAGTCGATCCCGCACACAAGTTCTTGCAGACAACGGCTGCTCATTCCTTGACAGCGTCCAGCTTATTTCTGGATTTGTGTTTAGAATTTAGAATATGGTGTTTTGGGGTTGCTGTATTCAGGCTAACTTCTGGGACCCAGATCAGTATTTATCCAACTGACTTCTTGGTCCCTCTATCTTCTAGTGAAACTGCAAGTTGCTATTGGTGGACACAGCTGCGAGGCTGATTCAGTTGCTTACAAGAGAATCCTACTGCTGACACCATTGTCCTGGCAAATGCTTGTGCTGCATGGGAAACCCGATCTTTCTGTATGGAGATAGGCCATCTCTGAAGCTGGCAGATTTAATCTAGAAAGATAGGCTTACATGAGAGAATCTCATTCCTAACCACTTCAACATATACTTTTTTTGTCTTTTTCTCCCCCTTAATAGAAGCTAATCTGACATGAACACAGAGTCAGCTTCTGAATTAAAGTAGGCAAATTGCTTTCTAGATCTGCTTCTGTAGTGACAGCTCTGCATCCTGAGCCTACCAACAGGATTTACTGCTGTGTTGAAATCTGTGGCTATGAGCCCCCTGTTTTATTTATCCACAGTAACAATGTTTTGGGGCCAATTAAAATAGAGGGCAGCTTTCAGAAGAGAGGCTACTGAAATATTAACCTCAAGATGTATGTAAATGCCAGCGTAGTATGTGTGCGCCAATGTCTTTTATCCCAGTTGAGCAGGAAGATACGTGACATAAATGAATGACTTCCATCTCATTCTTTTTATCATTTCAAGGAGCTGAATGCACCATCTTATGCCCAGAACATCACACCGAGCCCATTCTGTTACGTGCCAACGAAACATTACAGGACATCCAACACTGGATGAAACCTCCACGAGTGAAGGTAAGAATCTAAGCCATGAACAAAGGTGGCTTGGCAAAGATGGAGAAACGATGTTGTTCATACCAGTGGATTCATTGCTCTTCAACTCAGTAAGTCCAGTGAGTCCATTCGGATGCAGACCCAAGTCCGAGGAACATTTAATGCCATCCCCTGTTTTCTCTGTTCATATCCTTCCATTAGAAATGAGCAGGGAGTCAACCATGAGGCCAGGTGAACCACTGGGCTCAACACCAGATACCTTGAATAGCACCACCTTTGTGGAAGAGAGTGGTATATGCTGCCCAGTCTTATCTGCAACTCCTAAACTGGTTTGCTAATTTTGGGAAGACAATATCCATTTATCAGGATCAGAGAAAGATTTGATTCTGGTGTCTTGAGATCACGCAGGGCAATGAATGGGAACAATAGAGGAATACATGGGAAAGGATAGCTGAATGGTCCATGTTTAGAAGATATGCGTAGTCCAGAATGTCCAACAGGGACCAAGAAACAGTTAACAGGTTTGTACACACATTTCAGATTCCCAGAAGCTTCTGGGTGATTAGAAGCTTTTCTTCTTACAATCTTGTGGGCAAGGTACAAACAGGAGAGGCAAATAAACAGGTGGATTCAGCAAGTTAAGGTGTCAGCAGGTGATTCTGTGTCCCGCAGAAAGAGAACTCCCTTTTCTCCCCTCTTTGTTTCCTTGAGCAGATTTCCAGCTTGCCTCCCAGTGCTTACACTGTTTCCAAGGCCTTATCTTTGATTTGGCTTTTTCCAGGAAGAAAATCAGATCAGGGCCTGGGAGGAAAGAATTCTCAGCCTCTGAGATGGATATAGAAATTTTCCAATGGCCACTGCAGCAATTTATTTCTCGAACTGTTGGTTTTTAAGCTGCTGCTACCTCCTTTATTTTTTGGCCAATGTGTTGTGAAAAAAGATGGCGGGGGGGGGGGGGGAGGTTTT